ATAAACTTTGTTATTTGGGGTGAAATATTGTATATTATGAAGTAATGACGTCATCTTTTGATTACTTAATACATAAATGATATCATGCTTTTACTCTAGTGGCGCCATCTATGTGGGGATGATGGAAATAAAATAACTTTAAATCTATTTTAATATTTAAATCTGTTTTATTATTATTTATTAAACATAATTAAGGCTGAGGATCGAACTCATGCCAATCAAAAAGCCTTCGTGGGTCAGTAGTTGGATATCATAACCACTGACCTACGAATGTTTTATATATATATATATATGTCATTATTTGTTCTTATTTCACATATTGCAGCTATATTCATGTGTAGTTCAAATCTAACTGCCTCTTTACTTGGTAACTTCACTCCTGTTCGTTATGACATTTAGAACCTTGAGAATTAATGAATGCACTGTTTCTCGTATCTTGTCTACTTTTTAGTGCCGTCTATTTGGGTAACAAAAAATAAACCGGAGTTGAATTAGTTTTAAAATAAGATAGAAATGATTTGCATAAAAATGAAAATTAATTCTATTTTTTTCAATGAATAGAGTTGGACCACATTTAACTAAGGCTTCTGCATTTGGGCTTTGCTTTTAAAGGAAGATAGCCAAGGGCAGAAACTGTGCTTGACAGTGTACCCCCCCCCCTCCTCACCAGAAAAAAACAGGGTATACTAGGAATAGGTTAAGGGATGGATCACCATCATTCCATCCATTGGCGTAGTTGGAAATGAAAACATTGCGTGATGTTGTTCATAATTTTGTAACAACTATAGTTTTACTCTGAAAACATCTCCAAACTGATGTTTTCTGGTGCGAACGCCTTTGACGGCGGTGTGTGAGAGATATTTTAATTCAGGATTATCTAAGTTGGTAATTTTTTCTACCTTCCCTGAAAAATGAATACATTTTGTCTGGATGATTTATTATTTTATATCCGTCGTTGAACAGCCGACCCAATTTCGAGTTTGCGACTACTAATGCTTAACTCCGTAGCATTAGTAGTCCTGAACCAATCCGGAAGAAAGACAAGGAAACTCCTGGATCAATACCCCCAGAGGTGTTGATTTGTTATGGGAATATGGAGGACTTTGCAACTAGACAGATTTAGCATGCATCAGTCACCATTTACTACACAGGGAGTCTTCAACTGGCGGGGATCAAACCCACGAACTCTTGGACATGGGCCAGTGCCCTACCAACCAGGCTATCCTGACCTCTGGATGATTTATTAGTAAATTTTAATGACTGGAGCGAGTTGACATTGTTTTTGAGTTAGCAGCTTTTTTCTTTATTATACTTTCACAGATCCTGAT